TTGAAATATACTATGCTGTAAAATGCAAACACAATAAATATTTGTTCATTTAACAATTTGATAACACACAGTTATATAATAAAAAGTTATTATAGTATTTAATTATTATTCAAAATGTTGAGAAGGTAAGATCTATTTAAAAATTATTGCATTAATAAAATTGAGTGCTAATATAGTTTATAGATAAATAAACAAATTCTATATTTGTGTAAATCTTAATATTTGTATAGGTATTGTAATTTGTGCATTTAGTTAGACCTCAATTAATACCCAGAGCCGACCGATTGGTAACAATTATTGGAAGATTTATGTGCAAATCGATGGCGTGTGGGATATCAAGTGTGATATGAATAAAATATTTAATAGTAATGATCGCGCTTTTGATGGTAAGCGAGGCGTTCTTAGGAATGGTCACGAATAGGCTTTCCGTACTTTTTGTCTCACTCGTGACTATGTTGCCGACCATGTATTCAGTGAGAGCCACTTCCAGGGCTTTATGTCTTTCGCCGCACATATAGATCTGTGTCTGATATAGTGTTATTCTGGGGGTCACATCCACTGATGAATCGTTATCCACACTGCAGTGCACTTCCACCACTTCGCCTATATTTTCGTAAAATGTTATCCAAATTAAGTGTCAAATTTTGTAATTAAATTAAATACGTTAGTAAGTTTATATTTTTATACTATTGCTTTCTATTAATAATGTGTTAATACCTGGTAAGTATCCTTTCTTAGAAACATTGGCGTACAATGTGAGCTATAATAAAAATATAATTTTGTTATCAAAAATAATTATTTATTAAATATTTAGCATTAATTACGGATCCAGATCCAAAACAAAACAGCGCCAGATCTTTCTCAGCACTTCCACCAACAGATATCTGTATAAAAATGGTAGATATTAAATATTGAATATAATGGTTAATTGTTTTGATATAACAGACATTAAGATTGTCACGGATTGGAGACTCCACTATAAGTGGTGATCCAATTCTGTGCACCTCATCGATGATGGGCTCATCAATGACTGCCTCCACGTAATAATTAACTGATCCGTGAATGCTCTCAAATGATGAGGGAATTCCTCTGTTGTTATAAATATCTTCATTATTATCATTACAGTCAATATCTAATTACTGTTATACACTCACTCTTCAGGTAATTTAAACTTGAAAGGAATTACATGATCTCCCGGTCCGAGACAATTGTCAGCATCTGATAGATTGTATTAAAATTATAAATTATAAATATTGTATTTATAATATAAATACATTGTTCAGGCATTTGGAAAGTAAAATCCAAATATTTTTTCTGGTTTTGATAGACGTGTCCATCTTTATGATAACGAGAACCAGGATTTTCTATCCATTTGGCTTCAGCCATACATATTAAGCCGATCTTGATGTTTGCTAACAGATTCGCTGGGAATTTACTATAAAAGTTATATGGTCTGTGACCCAGAGGGCGCAGCATTACGAAAAATAATAACAGGTTTTATTGTAGGTCCAAGCAATTTACGTTAGAAAGGTAAAACAGAATAATCTGACAATTAGGATAAAACTATTGCCTAATTAATTAAAAATTACATTTGATTAAATCTTAAATTGATGAACACAGTTAATTAAATTCTTTATATGTAATGGTTTTATTAGATTAATTGTATTCTAATGCCCATTGAATTTGCAATACAACATTATTTCATAACAAAATGTTTTAACCAAAGAGTAATTCAATGGATATCGCTATGGATACCGACTCTTATATATCGATCGCATACCTTAAGCCGATATTTATAAATAACTCATCCATCCGTTATGCAATGCATACTATAAGGTACAAATTAATAATTTAATTAATACAGTATTTTGATAAAATGTTATTTTTATTCAATGAGAAAAATACATGTTTTTATTTAATTTTTACTCTAAACATTATTATTATAATAATCAATAAAATTCATTCATCTTGAACGCTAATAATTTATGACAAATAAATATTCTTATAGTAGTGGTAGTATGTAATTATAACTTTGATATTCTTTAAATACAATTCTCACTTTTTCTTTCACTTATAATTGCAATATTTTAAATATAATCTCTTATTATAAATAAAACTTTTAAAATATTTATATAAGAATATTTAACTAATTAATCATTTGTAAATTATAAACAAATATTTTAAGTAATCAAATCAAGTAAATGTTTATATAACATATTATATTTTAATAAATACTATCAATATAATAAATATTATTTTAAATTTAAACTAATTAAAGCACTATTAATCTAAGCGAATAATATTAATCATAAGTAAATTTCATAAAGAATTATCAATGATAATTTATCATGATGAGCCATGCATTAGTTGAGCCACTGTTTACATAATAAACAAATAAATTGTAACTTAATTGAGAGCAAAACTGTTAGTAATAACAATCGGTAAATTCAAATGCAAATCAATAGTATGCGGAATATCAAGCGTGACGTGAAGAAAGTACTTCAGTGTAATGTTAGGACATTTCAATGAGAGGGGAATGTCGTCAGGAATGGAAACATTGATTACAGAATCGGTGGCCATTCCGGCCTCAATGGTGGCGCCCACCACGGCTTCGGTGACCGTCGTCTCAATGGTCTTGTGCTTCTCACCGGTCATATAGATCTGTGTCTGATATAGGGTTACTCTGGGCGTCACGTCGGCGGTCGAGTCGTTCTCTATATTGCAGACCACTTCCGCCGATTCGCCTAACAATCCGTTTCATTCACTCATTTCAATTTTATTTCAAACTATATTCTTGGTAACAATAGAAAACAATGGGCATACCTGGCATATGACCCTTTTTATAGACCGTGGCGTGCATACGGATAGTGCCGGAGCCTAAGTTTACAATTCCCAACTCTTTCTCAGTGCTCGCACCGACTGATAGCTGTAATAGAAAACAATGGGCATACCTGGCATATGACCCTTTTTATAGACCGTGGCGTGCATACGGATAGTGCCGGAGCCTAAGTTTACAATTCCCAACTCTTTCTCAGTGCTCGCACCGACTGATAGCTGTAGAATGTATAGGCAATTAAATTGACAATTAATTTCAGACTATACTGTATGAGTTATTACAAACATTGACATACAAATAAATTGTCCTTAAAAGGAGCTTCGACTGGAAATGTGAGTTCAGTTTTGACACTTTCATCGATTATGGGTTCGCCAACTAATGCTTCGATGGAGTATGTAATTGATCCCAAAGGGCTTTCGAAACTGGATGGCAGTCCACTATATAAATGCAGTAATTGTTGTCATATTTTTATAATTTTATAATTTTTTTATACATACGTGTCCGGGAGTTTAAATATAAATGGGATCTCATTTATTCCAGTTGTAAAATATTTTCCGCAAACTGAAACATAAATCAATGGTTAATATTTAGTTATTCTGCCCAAAAAAGTGTTTGAGTTTAATATACATTCGTCGGGCAACTGATAGTTAGACTCCAAATATTTGCGTTTAATATGGTATGAGTGGCCATCACTCTTGAGGCCCGGCATCTCCATCCACTTGACTTCAGACAAACAATTCAAAGTGATCTGAATCACGGATATCAAGAGCTCGCCCCTCACAGAGATCACCAGCTTTCCAGTTATGTAATCTCCAGTTTGGTATTTAATCTTAGAGTCTACCAGAATAATTTTCATGTCATTTATATGAAACCTATCCATCGCTATTGAATTTACAATTTGCAGTATTTTTAAAAATAATTTTCTATAATTTACAATAAATTAAGACAATGTTAGCCGCAATGAAGTCACACAAAACTGTTTACTGGTTTACTTTCCGACAAAATGTCTGTTTATGGTTTGAAAAGACAGTCTCAAATTTATCCTTAATATTGATTTTCTGGATAAAAGAGATCAGTTATCGTCATAGAGACTGGCATTCGCTTTGAGGAAAGGGATGAGAGGGATGAAGACATGAGCAAAATAAACAAAACATTCTCCGCACCTGACCTTCACGTGTGGCTAACATTTAGTTATTATAAATCATAATTCATTGCATTAATGATTGGATATTAATGACTAACAATTGCCGAGATATTCAATCATTCTTTGATTTAGAAATGTTTGATACTTTCTGAATTGAAAAACAGGTATTTATTATTCAAATTTCCAAATTATCCAAATCTCTAAATCCTTTTCAGATTGTATTTTCAAATGCTTATTTATTAGATGTTTAATGTTAGTGTTATATGAAATATTCCATATAATATAAAATTTATTCACATTACTAAAAATATTTGCTCACAAACATTGAATACACATTTGTTCAAACATTTTATTCAATTTTAATTTCAATACTAAATTGTAATCTTTATATTCTTTATAATCTAATGTTTTATATTAGAAATTGTTTGATTTATACTGTACAGATTAAGACAAATACTGTATTTCAGGAAATTATATTTGAAATATAATTTCATAATATTTATATCTAAACATCCAAATGACTATTTTATATTGTGATTATGACATTAAAATTTTATGCAGTAGATGTTTAATTAGATTTTGAAAATAAATATTTTGTTTATTTATATATTACCAAATAATTATTTCAAATAAAATCTATATAATTTAGTTACAATAAATACATTAACCCATATGTACAGCAGATTCTGTAATTACAGTCATTCCTTATAATCACAACATTTTCTAACTATTAATGGGAATGCCTTCAAATTATATTCAATAACTCTTTCTATATGTCAATAGTGCACATGTGGGATACTACAGTAAAAATCATTTATAATACAATATAATCGTTTATATTTAAATAATAAAAGGCAATATCCTTGGACAGTTAGTTTTGTTAGTAAATTGCTAGCTTACACTGTAAGCCTTACAGTACAGAATAGTCATACAATTCAAGTGCCTATTCCCTCGCACTGTGCTAACTGTGCGCACACTCGCGATGATTGCGTTCAATGTTTAGTGTTTTGATGTTTTGGCCGTAATATCAGTGCTGTGTATGCATTGCATTGAGTGAGCGATCACTGTATCACTCATAGCAGCATTTGAGTCTCAAAAACTTCATTTCAATTTAAGCACACGTTTTGTAAAAATGTGTCACTTTTATGAGTAGTGTTTCACGTTTTTTAAAACACTTTTTTGTTACATTTTTTCTACATTTGTAATCAATTTAATTTTCACTCATTAATTAATTGCATTTTTGTGGTCATTTGTAATCGTATTTTGACTTTCATTCACTCACTCATCGATCACCTTGATGTTTGGACTCAATATATAACTTACATTTGATATTTAAATTTGATAACGTGTCCACAAAATTGTCTCCGGGTATTATTACTACGTTAGTCAGCAATTTCTGAACACAAAAGTAAGACTATTATTAAATAACTATATTTTAACTTAAATACAAATGTTGTTTGAAAATCATATTACAATTTGAATGACTGAATAGCATTGAGGACTGTGTTTGCGGTTATTATTTACAGCATTAATATGACCTCTTGTTATATAATTAACCGGAAACTACATTTAAAATAGTGTTCACTATTGAAAGTGTAGTTTCAAATTGTTACTATAGCATAGAGTTTAGACTTTGTATTATTATCAAGTTAAAAATTGCTAACATTTGTGGTACTTTTCATACTATCATACTATAAACAATGAGTGCACTAGGTAAGTGCTAAGTGCACCAAATGTTATCTCTAGTGATAATTGAGATTTGTGTGAAATTCATTGATTAGCCATGTATTTAATTTTAAGTTTATTATGACATAACTCACTACTATTTAAACTTATTTTTTCCGTGTAAACCAATTTCCTAATTTATTACAAATTTATCTGTCATTTTCCCTGACTCTCATAAACTCAATACATTTTTATTTTTAAAAACTTTCATTTGAATCAAAACATGTGGTGAAAGTTATAAATATTGTAATGAATAAAAAGTTAATAAAATTAATCTAATTCGTTAATAAGTTGTTTTTAACACAAAGTTATAATATTAAATAAGTTTTTGCATTTTAAATCTTGTGATTGGACTGAATTTGTGAGTATTGAAAATAAACCACTAATTAATGGGATATTTAATACACAAAGATATTAGTGGAGAAAAACCACATCAAAACCGAGTCCTTCGTAGAGTCCTATTACTGTGTATTAATACAAACACTTCACTACTTCTCATCATTTATTTAAATGGCTTTTATAACTGGTTTTTCAAATATTTGGTTATTTTTGTCTTATATACAGGAAAGTGTTTAACAAAACTACTCTCACTTTCACATTTATGTTGACTCTAGTTATCCCAATTAGTTATATAATAGTTTAGTGTTTATTTTGAAAATGTTGAATACATTTTTTATACCGGTATTAATACTAGCTAATTTTTTATTCACCATAAAAGTGAAAATTTAGAGCAAATCCTAATTTCCATTAACTGATAAAAATTATAATTTTCACAGTAAATTTATTTACTCCTTTTAAATAGTAACTGATTGTATTTCTATATTTTGATTATTTTTAGTTGTAATTAAATTGATTATGTATGCAAAATCAGTAGTAAGTTTAATGATTTTCAGTGAATAGACGTAACATTAGTGTTAATTGACATGTACATACAGTATGTCAATTAAAATGATTTTTTTCGTTGCAAATGATACGAAATTGGATCAATAAATCATTGATTGAATGTGACTTATATATAGCTGAGTGTCCCTTAAATTTGATTTTAGTTTTACTTTCACTTTAATTTAATCTGTAATTTATCAGCCAAACTATTTGTCTGTATGTTTCTATAGAGAACATCTAATCATTGTTTTTATATTGTTTATTACCTACTCTTCTAATACATTTATTTCCTATGTTTAAAGTCTATAAACTTTGGATAGTATAGTATAAACTTTATAATATAAAGTGTTTCTTATCAGAGTATTCGTGATTTGATTGTCTTTTCAAAATTTTAAATGTAATGTAAATGTAATGTAATGTACAATACTTTTAAACAATCAATGGTTTTGTACCACAAAAACGGGAGTTATTATATTTATAGACCTTTGAGTGACAAGTTGTGTGTTTAATGGAAAATGTTAGTCAAGTTATTCTCGTAATAAACCACATAAGCATTTTTTGGTTTCCGATTTATATTTCATGGCATTTTATTATATAAAGAAATATAATCAAGTTTTTGCAACTTTATTTATTATATGACTATTATTATAATAATTTAGAAAGTTTTTTATTTCATTTAATAGTTATATGAATTCAATGCAAACGTCTTCCGATATTGTTTGCAGACATTGAAAGACTTGTCAGTATTTTTCACTAATCATTGCGAGAATAATATAAAATAGAAATTAAATGTTGTTTTGTATATAACAATTTGGGACAACGACCTTAATCTACCTGTGCATAGACAACTATATTAGTGGAACAAACCTTCAAATATGTATACATTTACTTTTATATAATGTGGTTATCCTTCCCTCAATTCAATGAATATTAAGTGTTTATTTAAAATTTTGTCATTTGATTAGTTTTCTTATAAAATTAAGTGTGCGATAAGATGTGACATTTACCCCATTGTCTTATCACATCTCGTGAAATGTTGATTCAATTTTGAATTTATAAATGCTTTTCGTTTATTTGCTAATTTTCAAGACTATTTATAACTCTCTTATATCGGACTTTAATTATAAGTACAAATTTGATACAAATTTTATACAAATTTCATTTTGTCTTCAATTTAGACTAATCATCAAATAATGGCAAACGATAGATGTGTCAATCCGTTTGTCCATAGGTTTCGGTTCCGGACTATTGATTACTTCCAGGTATGTCTCATGCAAATAGTTTATTATAGCAAATACGGTAATAATATTGTATTTATTGGTCAGATAATCATCGGCACGATATTATTAGTTCCCATGCGGATAGTGCTCACAGTATTTCTATTCATGTTGGCTTCAACTTTGGCTAAGTTTGCAATTTATTTGTTAAACAAATTGCAACTCGAAAAAGAAGCCGAAAATAAGTGGAGGTTTGCTTTCATTTGTGAAGAATCGCTATAAATTAATTAATAAACTTTTTTTTCGTTTATCCAACAGATATTATTTAAGGATTCCGTGTGTTTGGACCTTCAGAGCCATGTTTTTCTGTTCGGGATTTTATCGCGTCAATATTGTGGACAAGGGTTAGTGGACAGTCCACTTGGCACTCAGTTATCATTATTTTAAAGCTATTATTTTGCCTGGACAGCCGGTCCCGACGCTGAGAAAGAGGCCCGGGTGCTAGTGGTGGCGCCGCACACCTCACCATTTGATGTTTTATCTGGTATTGCGCTGAAAATCCCATCGCCAGTGGCCCGACACGACGCCGTCGACATACCATTGTTTGGAAGTATGTCTCCATATCTACTATATTTTCATTTAATGAATACTTATTTAATTTTGTTAAATACCACAACAGATGTGATCAAAATAACTGATCCCGTGTTTGTTGAGAGAGACTCAAAGACGTCGCGGAATAACGTGTTGTCCAGTGTTTTGGAGAAAATAAAATTCGTCCGCATTTTCTTCTTCCCCGAAGGTTTGCCACGACTATAATGTCACCCAAAATGGTGTTTAAAATGTTTGTATTTGTGTTGCCATTCAGGCACCTGTACTAATCGTAGGGCATTGTGTCAGTTCAAAGCGGGCGCTTTTAAGTTGGGTCTACCCATACAGCCCATTGCTATCAAATACGACCAGGGTGGTGGTCCGGACACTTTGAGCTGGACATGGGATGGGCCGCCTGTTTGGAAATCCATTTGGTTGACTCTGAGCCGATGGAGTACTGGCGTAGAGTTAGTGCTGTTACCCGTCTATCATCCTTCCGAACAGGAATTACAAGATCCAGAACTCTATGCATATAACGTGTCGGTGCTATTGGCCAAAGAGTTAGGTTTCGCTAATTTGTACTACTCTTTCGATGACGTCAAATATTTACACCAAAGGTTTGTCTCATTAAATGATTTTAATAATTGAAATGTTAATTTTGATTTATGTTATAATTTATAGAGTCTTCCGAAGTCCTATTTGTCTGAAGTTTTTGAAACTTATGGACAAAATTGCCACTGAATTGCAAAAGACTGGCTTAAGGATCAACAATAATTTCCACTCGAATGGCGCTGCAAATGGTATCCCAAATGGTGTTTCAAATGGTGTCCCAAATGGTGTTGCAAATGGTGTCTCAAATGGTGTGAATCACGCGAAAAGTATTAAAATATTACCCTATCTTAATGAATGCATGAAATAATTAAGTTGTTGCTTACTTCAGATAAGAAGCAAATGCTAATCGACACTATAAATGAAACGGTGAACGATAAACTCGAAAAAATAGAGGTCTGTCTGTCAGTAATGTTTTCTGTTATTCAATATTTGAGATTTATTTGATATTTTAGTTAAATTCATCGAAAGATATTAAATCCATTGACGACATCATTTCATTATTCAATTTAGAAAATTGTTAGTTAAACGCGAATTATAAAGTTTTGTCTGTTTTTAATTTTAAATGATTACTTTAGATCCCGTGATATGTGGATCAATGACAGTAAATGAATTGCTTCATTGTCTCCGACATTCATCACTTAAACCAAATACTACACACATTGCAGTTGTCCTTCNCTTCATTGTCTCCGACATTCATCACTTAAACCAAATACTACACACATTGCAGTTGTCCTTCATTTATGTGATCTCAGGTTTGTATCATATGTTGGATATATTTAATTGTAGTATAAATGATGACTATTTTTAAAACTCGTATATAGAGTACAAAGCTTTTGGCAGAGATTAGAGAATGGTTTCAATGCTTTGGCTCAGAATCGAGATGACGGCCGAAGTTATGTCATATGCAACGACTCGTTACGAGTGCTGTTATGGTTGGCATTGGGTATAGAGAAGACAGTCAGTGATAATAAGGACGACGAGGATGAGATGACATTTGGTATTTGACTACTTTTTTAATTACCATATAGTTATCAAATAGTTGACACATTTATTAATTGACAAAAAATATTTTCACTTTCAGATGCGTTCAGAGAGTATTTGGTAAAGAATTATAGGGATTGTATCGAAGAAAACGCTAGAGAATTGCTAACCGAACCAATCGTTGCGAGTGGTGTTCCGCACAAAAGTTAATGTTATCATAGAAATTAGTTTTTAAATTCATTAAGTTTGCTAATTATATTACATGACAGGACAGTGA